TGTTTTTGTAATAATTAGTTTCAACGTGCAAAAATAACAGAACAAGGTTTTGAAATAACTCAACCTTATTCTGTTGCGACTGATTGGAAATATGCAGAAGGAATCAGAGGTTACGGCGCACAAGTTGACTAGATCCTAGTGGAAAAATTTATGTGTAAACTATAATATTTTCTTTAAATAAATAAATGAATAACATAAATATAGTTAAATTTAAAGTGAGTTGAAATTTTTTTTTAGTCCATAAATGGGGTATGGACAATAGTACTACAGTAGACATTTACCTTATTTTTATTGTCCATCCCTAAATAGGAAAATTTTTTCACAAATACCAAATTGGAATTACACAAAAAAACCTTTTTATATTATTCAAATAATAAATTAAGGATGACTTCTAATGATTTGATAGCTTTACTGTACCCATTGACGTTATCTGTTCAATATGTTCCTTGAGATAAATAAGTTTGACTCTGTGATGATGATGTTAATAATGCTAGGCAAATTTCATAGTTAAATGATTAAATCAAACACATTAAATGAAATAATTGTATATTTTTCACTTCACTTCATTTTTAATTTTTTACTTGCCTGGAGTAGATATGTTAGTATTAGATGGTTGACTAGGAGGTATAACATTTGATGTGGAAGCCAATGATGATGATGAATTTAATAAAGTTGAGAACTGTTAGTACCAAGAGGATTTATCTGTGCATGTTCTAGCAACTCACACTCTGGTAAAAATGTAATCACTTCTCCATTGATGATAAGAGTTTTAGGCCCAATGTCTTTCAATTAATAGCAAGTCTACACCATATGCCCAAATTTAAAATAAATAAAATAATAATAATAATTAATTACCCATCAATTCATCCATCAATTCATCCATCCAATTCATCCATCCAATTCAAATTTAAATATACAAAAACCTCCATGATTGTGAATGAATACAGTAGAAATATGCCATTTCCAACACGTATTTGGGCAGTATGGACATGTCCTAAAACTCTTGCTATGACATACCTTTAGCAACTCCTGAAAATCATATTTCAAGATTCTAATGTCACCAAGAAATTTTAATTACAAATAAAAATAAAAATCATCAAACATTTATAAATGAGCATATATATATAAATCTAATTTTAATTCTTACCCATCAATGAAATTCAATAAAATGTTAAAATTTGTGCTTCCTTATTTACACCTCTTATAGTTTCTTGAGCTTCAGAATCAACAAAAGCCTTGACAGGATGTCCGTTTACCTCAACAACAATACACAACATAGTTGCCTAATTTTTAATAAATATACACTACCTGGAAGAAAGTATCCGGACGCGCCTTTTTGATAATTCCGCAAAATTTTACATAGCACAAAAAAAAATTTTTTACATCAATTTTTAGCCTAGGTTCTTACGATCAATATAAATTTTGATGTTTTTAGCATGTATATAAAATTCTCAGTTAAAAAAAACCGAAATACAATTAAAATTGTAATAATGATGATCAACAAAATTTGACGAAAAATTTATTTAAAAATTAAAAATTAAATTCAATATTTTGTAGCCCATCCTTTATTTGCAATGCATGCCTCAATTCTCCTTGGCATGCTTTCAATT